TCAAACACACTTCAGACTTGAAAAGCATCCGTAGCAGAGGTCACTGACACCAACACACACTCACATTTATCTAAATAAGACCACACCTAGAGAGTTTTAAATAAAGCAAATGACTGCACACTGACTAACCCTAACCAAACCCCTAAACACACACACACACACACACACAGAGTGTCCTGTAATGTGGATCTCTCATTACTCATGCAATTAAAGAGCTGAACAGCCACTTAAATACCCATCAGGCTTCACTCCCGGAGGATCTGCGGACAGACGGAGGAGGAACTCTCACATACAGGTAAAGGTGTGACACGTCAGCACAAATCCAGCATGCAGCTGATTCCAGGATTCTGGAGATGATCAGAGGCTAAAGTTAATGTTACTTCGACTGTTGAACAAGTTCAGATTCAGCTGTCAAGAAATGCATTCAAACTTTGAAAGCACTTTCAAATTCCACAATGAATGAAACATGAAGGCTGCGTCCAAAAATCGCACACTTCCCTACTATATAGTAGGCAAAAAACAATATGTGAAAGAGTATAAAGTATTCAGTAAAACATGCATACTTTTTTTTCTGTTATTCTCCTGTTTATTACTGTGAAGCTGCTTTGAAATAACCTGTATTGTATAAAGCGCTATTGAAATAAACATGACTTGATTACCTACTTCCGGTGTTTCTGCTGCTTTCTGGCTCCGCCCACTGCCCCGCCCAGGTGTCAATCATCACAGGCCTCACACCCCCAATGAATCTGCATGATTTTTCCAGTTGTTCATGACTTGCTGGATAAGAACATTTTAAAATACTTTTTACTCACAATTTATGCCCAAAAATATTTGAAAGTTTGAAATAACTAAAAATAATATTATTTATAAAAATGGCCATTTGGAGTCTGAAGATGTTATTAATTTCCAAGCCTTTTGCACATCGAGACATCTCATTTTTAAAATGAGGATACTTCATATACCCAGGTTTTCCAAGAATCCTGTTTCTTCAAAGACAAAAAAATTTAAATAAACAAATCAATCAATAAATAAATAAAAGAAAAATAACCCAAAAAATTAAAAAAATCACAATTTTAAACATTTCAATAACAATAATAATGATGATGTTTAAGGGGTGAATTTTAAATTAAATTAAATTATTAGATTTTAATCTCATTTTAATACTTTTGTCTTATTTTAAATCATTTTAAGTCATCTTGCGGCCCCTTGTTGCGAAACACTGTCCTGATAAAGTGAAAATCTAAAACCACAGATCTGTTTAGCATTATAAAATGATGTTAATATCACCAAAACATCTTTGTTTGTTCTTCCAAACTTAATGTAAAAGCAAGAATACAGCCATAGATCTGATATAGCCTAATGTTTCCTGACGGCTCTTTCTAAAGACACAGATGTACACTAAACACTGTGTTCCAAACACACACACACACACACACTATGATTCTGGCCAAAATCAGCGTTCATCTTCTTTCATTATCGGACCCTTGCGAACGCTCGTCCTGACAGTCCAATTCCTCAGTGCTGCCACACCGTCATCCCTAATTCATTTTCCTCTCCCGTAATTTATTTCCCCTCGTGACCCGATGCATAAAGAGCCACAGACTCTGATCTTCAGTACGTAAATCTTCATCTTCAT